TTTTTTTTTTTTTTTTGGCAATTGAAAAATATTCTGGATACAATGGTAAAAAGAATTATCACTTTTATTGAAAGTTTTCATGTAAAACAAAGTCAAACGAATGATATTCGGTATATATATTTTTTTAAAAATTTTAATTTATTTATTTATTTATTTTTTTGGTAATTGGAACAAATGCTAAACCCAATGGTAAAAAAATTATCATTTTAATGGATAATTTCCATGAAAAATAAAGTCAAACGGACACCAAACTTTCAACATTTTTTAGGTGAAAAATTATACTAATCAAATACAATTAATTACAATTCAAGTAAAATAATTTCTAGGCAATTCAATTCCTTATAATTCATTTTCTTTCTACCAATTTTTCACATTTACAATCAAACGAACCCAAACAAAACATCTTATTTTCTTTTCTTTTAAGGCTCTGTTTGATTGCAAACTTTTCCATGAAAAATGTCACATTCGAGAAAAACGAATTCCACTTTGTCCGTTTGATTGTAACGTGGAAATGGAAATCGAATTCCAATGTACAACCACTTTAAGCTGCATTTTCTTTGTTTTCATGAAAAATGGATTCATATGAGTTTGTTGGATTTTTATTTTCCAACTAACAAGGAATTGAAATTTCTTTCCACATTTGCCTATCAAACGGACCACACATATGCATATTTATGATGTAACTTATCATTCTCAATTTATGAACTCATGCATATTGTTTCGAGTTGCATAGTCTACTATATGCAAGGTTATAGCAATATGTGAGTTCATTGCCTATTAAATTACTAAAAATGTCATTGTCATTGCAACATATTTCATTGGGTTAAATCAACTAATAACAACTCAACTTTATATTTAGTGTCATCATGATTACCCAATTTGATTTTGTTTCACTACTGTCACCCAATTTTATATTTAGTGTCATCATAATCATCCAATTTGATTTTATTTTATTACGGCCACCCAATTTCATAGCGTTTTACCATGACCACATGATTTCATATAACGTTTTACCATGGCCGCTCAATTTCTTTTCAACATTTTTACTATTTCTAAACTAAGTAAAACGGTAACTTTGTATTATACACGAAAAAAAAATTTTAAAAATTTATTTTAAAAATAAGTTTTTATTTTATTTTTTAATTAACTTTTTTTAAAATAAGATTTTATTTTATTTTTTAAAAAATAAGTTTTATTTTAATTTTTTAAATTTATTTTATAGATATATAATGCAAAGTTATCGTCTTACCCATTTTAAAATTAATGAAAATTGTGAAAAGAAGTTGGGTGATCATGTTGAAATGTTATATGAAATTGGGTAGTTATGGTGAAACGTTATATGAAATTTGATAGTAATTATGAAATAAAATCAAATTTGGTGATTATGGTGACACTAAGTATAAAATTTGGTGGCTATGGTCAGGGGCGGAGCCAGAAAGATACATTAGGCTGTGTTGAAATTTAATTTTTTTTCAATGAACTTATACTATAAAAGATGCTTTAAACCACATGGTAAGACAAAAATCGGACCCAAAATCGGAGAAAATCATGTCCGGTTAACTGATTATGACAAATCGCTCAAAACCCACTGAACCGGCTAGTTCAACCGTAAACCAGTGAACTAGTCGCGGTTTGGTTTTTTCCCGATTTTTTTTCTTTTTTAATTTTAAAAATTTTTAATTTCATGAATAGACCTCGTAAATTACAATTCAAATGCTCATAGAAAACTATTGGATGACATGCTCATTTTATAGATGAACTTCTCTCAAATGATTTCACAAACTTCCAATGTGGGATAGTGACATAACAAAAAAACGTTAAAATGCACATCAAAATCATTTTTCTAATGTATGTTTAATTGACTAATTTGATTTTGAATCTCAACTAATTAAATTGTAATATTCACATTTATCCTTTCATTTATTTAATTTTCAAATTTAACTTAAATCGCACTTGATTATTAATATTAATGTTAGATATCATTTTCTATAAGTTTAAACTATTTTAACATATTGATTTTTAATTTTTGAAGTATCGAGACTAATTGCAGGATAATGAATCTAATTAACAAAGCTAGATTTACTTTGAATTATTAATATGAAAAAAAAATTATCGTTTTCATAGTATTTTATTATTTTTGTATGTATTTATTGCATTCAGTTCGATCCCCGTTCGACATCGGTTGAACATTTTGACCCTTCACTTTTTTCGGGTCAATGACCAAGTCAGTTTTTAAAACATTGGTCATAATATATTTTTAAACACTCGTAACAAAGTTCTAACAAATATATTTTTAAACTAATAAAATTAAATATATAACATATTACTTATTTTGATAATAACGTCATTTCAGAAGCAAAATCATGCTGAAAAACTAAAAAGAATAAAATTTCTCCCGCCCAATATTAATTTTAGCCAAATTAACTTCATTTTCAACCCAAGTCTAAAATTGAAATGATACACAATCAACCAAATATTTAAACTCAATTAACCAAATATTAATAAAATTTTGCTTCTAGGCTGGGGGTAGGGTTGGGCTTATAGCCCAGCCCACCCCTACCTCCGTCCTTGGCTATGGTGAAATAAAATCAAATAGAGTGATCATGATGATACCAAGTACAAAATTGAGTGGTTATTGATTGATTTAACCTTATTTTTTCATTTTTTTTTCCACACAAAGTTACAAGCCCGTGTTTATTTGGTGACGTGTGAAAGTTATAGCTTGAGAAACACCCATTCCTTTAAAAATTTATTTCGCATTATATTTGTTTCAGGAATTCTATCAGAGCATTTAACACAACATAGACTTCTGGATTATAGTCACATTAACTTCTTCTCTTCTTTTTTGATTTTGCTCATTTATCTTCTTGTATAAATCCTTTATAAAGTGTCATAGTTTTCCAAACCCATATTACTTTTGACATCTTATCCGAGATTTAAACCTTGATTTACTCCTGTTTTTCTTTTTATTTTCACTCCAATTGTCATCTTGACTGCTATTTTAAAAATCATGCTGAAAAACTAAAAAGAATAAAATTTCTCCCGCCCAATATTAATTTTAGCCCAATTAACCCAAGTCTAAAATTGAAATGCTACACAATTAACCAAATATTTAAAATCAATTAACCAAATATTAATAAAATTTTGCTTCTAGGTTGGGGGTAGGGTTGGGCTTATAGGCCAGCCCACCCCTACCTTCAGCCCAACTCTACCTCCGCCCTTGGCTATGGTGAAATAAAATCAAATAGAGTGATCATGATGATACCAAGTATAAAATTGAG